CTCTCAAATGCAGTGAAATATGAACACAAGAATCTACACTATAATCAAATATCTTGAATATCAAGAACCAAAAGTATTTTGAATATACAATGCCTATCAAAATGCATATTATATTTATCTCAACAATAATTGTTAAGCAAAATAATTTAGCAATAAATCAAATTCACACATAAATAGTGAAAACTAGTTTCATATTCACACCCATTGGCATAGAGATAGGCAAACAAATAATTCTACCATCAAATTAAGCTAATAAATTCATAAAACTATCATATTACATTTTGCATGGCATACAACAGTTGGCGCAACCAATACGGCTACTGTTGGCCTATACGGACACCGCGTACACCGATAAGCGGTATAGAGTGGGACCCAAACCAGACTTCGACCGAAGCGAGTGGACCAATGAGAAGGCGACGTTGGGTTTGCCCTTTCCTAACGTACATCACAATTAAACCCAAATTTAAAACACATGATAAAACATATTGATTATTGTTTGTTTGCCACCAATAGCTGCCCTACTATATCGACGGCGACATAAAGATCACCCAAAGTCTGGCCGTATTGAGGCATTTGGCGCGAAAGAACCACTTGATGGGCGAGTCGGCGGACGAAGAGTTGCGGATCAGTTTAGCCGAACAGCAGCTGAAGGACAATAACGGGGCGTTCGTTAAAATCTGCTACAATCCACTCTTTGAACAATTGAAAGCCGATTATCTGAAACAATTGCCACAAACGCTGGACCTGTTGAGCAAATTCTTGGCCGAACGGCCGTATTTTGCCGGTCAGTGGACACACTAACACCTAATTACCCGATATGTCTTGTAATCTGTTTGGTGGTAACCATTATCTCATTTGTATCCCATTAGGCGAGAGGTTAACATACGTGGACTTCTTGGCCTACGAGTATTTGGACCAACAGAAACTGTTTGCGCCGCAACTGGTCTCGCAGTACAAGAATCTGGACCAGTATTTGGGCCGAATTGAATCGCTTCCAACCATCGACAAGTATCTCAAGTCCGATCGCTACATAAAATGGCCGCTAAATAACGATTCGGCACAATTTGGCTCACGTTTGCAATCCATACCGTAATTTGCGTTACAACACGATTCCCGATCTAATGGTCATCCAATCGCCAACCGACCACATTGTCCGCACACAACATATGATTATCGATATAACAATTATAATAATCACATCTCTTATAATTTGTAACTTTTCTTTATAATAAAAACATATGATTTTATTTAAAAACCTATTGATTTGAGTCCTATTACGGACTTAAAGACTTTAAAAATCTAATCTACAAATATATTTCTAAATGAATAGATTATTACATTATAAATGTATGTGAATTACAACTTAAGATCTCTTTCGTCAGTAATTAATTACAAAATTAAGTCATAAATTATATTTAAATCAATCAAAAATATACATTAAATCACTACTAATTCTTCAACAGCCTTAAGGTATGATCGGTGGGCGCCACCAACTGCTCGCGCATCTCATTAAGCACTTCGCGGGCGCTGTCGCTCTGGCCGTCGCGCAGATACCCGACAATCAACAGTCGATACAACTTATCCCTATCGATGGCGGGCAGGGATGCGGTCAGACGTATGAATTGTTTCAGTTTATTAAACTCCTTATCCCTCAAAAACTTGTCGCACACAAACTCTATGGAGGACTGCTTGAGTCCACCGCCATAAGGGTCGCCGCCATAACCGCCGCCGCCTTCGGCCGCGCTTTCCATCTGCCGCTTAGCCTCTGAATACTGGCCGCAGTAGATATAGGCGGCCGACAAGTCGAGCAGCGCGTTGTCGCGACCGTACAAATCCATTGTCTTATTTACCACCACTTCCAGACTGGAGGTGTTGTCCTGTTTGATGAGAGCGCGCATCAGTTCCATACCCCAGGGCAGCACCTGATAGCTGGCCGCGCAGAATAGGAACTCTTGGAGCGCGTCGTCGGTCTGGTCGCGCATCATATGCATCCGCATGAGAGGGCCGGCGCCTGTTTTGGTCACTTTCACACCCGAGGCCTCAACGCACGCCACGAATAGCCGTTTGATGGCTTTGGGGTCCACCTCTTTGTCGATCAACGCATTGCACAAACGGTTAATCGATTGGTTCGTATACGTCATCATTCGGTCCCTTTCGGTCGCGTTCTGGCCGTACTCTAAGAGACGGCGCCTGTCATCCAGTGTACGACTGCCACCGCTATCATCGCCGGCCACTCCGTGAGTGTACTCTTTGACCAACGCTATGGCGGCGTCCGTGCGGTCGGCTTTGGCCAACAGCGCCGCCAAATTAAACACTTTGAACGCATCCAACGGGAACTGCGGCGACAGACGTGCCTTCGCCCGCAGCGCCTCATCCATGTCCTCGCAGTTGGTGTAGAAACCCATAAGAGTGGCGTTCATCGCGTCGTTGAGCGGGCACTGGTCGGCCGCCATCTCCACCACTATCTGCTTCACTCGGGCGCCGATCCGGGCGTTCAGCGCTCGGTCGTCGTCGCGTTGCGGCCACAACACAGAGTGTCGACAGTAGGCGAACAGTAGTCGCCGTAACGGATCCGCAGCTGACTGGCCGTTGGTCCGGAGCCGCTGCACGTGTGCCTCCAGGTCTCGCGCGGCCGGCATTTCAAACACGTCCGGCGCGCCCGCCGTCGACCGCTCTCGAGGCCGTTGCCATCGTTGTTGTCGTTGATCTACTGGTGGAGAAGTAATCATTGGTGAGTTATAGTGATGGCTGTGTCTTCAGAGCTGATCTATACGTACCGTACGATAGCCTCCGAACGGCCAAAGTGTTGGCCCCGACGGCCAGTTGTCGCCGAAGAGCGTTCACTGTTTGCCATTGAATGGCAATGGCTTTCACGCAAAACATCTGTCTGTTTGTCTCTCTTCTCGGAGTGGAAGTACTTCTTCGGCGGTGACACTAATTGTGAACTCAATTTACCGCTAATTTAGTTGTCGTCTGAAGTGTTGTTTTCATTCAAAACTATATGTGATTTGAATTAATGGTTAAAAAACATTGCAATCAAAACATTGCCTATCGTTTTGAGCACATGTTGTAATGTTGTGTTCGTATATAACGTGACAATTGTTTTGTTTGTTTGCATCCCTAGTGTTGGTATGGCTTATAGTTTACTGTGTCTTCGCTTAACCCTCTGTTAATTCTGTGATTATTTTGCACCCCTTTTATTGTCATCACGTGATTTGTGGATTGGGTTTAATGGTTGGGCTTTTTTGGTTTCCAATTCTTTGGTACAGAATATTCTGTAAAAACCAATTAATTGTTTGATTTGAAAGCAAGTGTTAATGTATTTGTCTCGCAATGACCTCATTATATGATTTGTTTAGTTTAAAAGTCTCTCTCTCTCTCTCGGGTGTATATACTGTAGTGTTTGAGATAATAGTTTAGGAGTCGAAAGCATTTATACATAGAAAGTGAGTGCGAAAT